GGGGGTGGTTTGTTGACCCCGGGGGTGGTTTGTTGACCCCAGGGTTGCTTTGTTGACCCCAGGAGTGGTTTGTTGACCCCAGGGTTGGTTTGTTGACCCTTGGGTTGGTTTGTTGACCCCTGAGCTGGTTTGTTGACCCCTGAGCTGGTTTGTTGACCCCAGGGGTTGGTTTGTTGACCCTGGGGTTGGTTTGTTGACCCCTGAGCTGGTTTGTTGACCCCGGGGGTGGTTTGTTGACCCCTGGGGTTGGTTTGTTGACCCCTGAGCTGGTTTGTTGACCCCGGGGCTGGTTTGTTGACCCCAGGGGTGGTTTGTTGACCCCAGGGTGTTTGGGGTGGTTTGGTTGACCCATGGGGGTGGTTTTTGTTTGACGTCCGGCGGCTGGTTCTGTTAACTCCCGGGGGGCGGTTTTGTTGACCCCAGGGGTGGTTTGTTGACCCCTGAGCTGGTTGGTTGACCCCTGAGCTGGTTTGCTGACCCCGGGGGCGTCTCCGTTGCCGTTGTCCAGGCGCAGGCGCGGTGCCACCGCATCGGGCAGAGCAAGGCGGTGAAGGTCTACCGGCTCATCACCCGCAACTCCTACGAGCGCGAGATGTTCGACAAGGCCTCGCTCAAGCTGGGCCTGGACAAGGCCGTGCTCCAGTCCATGAGCGGCCGCGAGGGCAGCATCGCCGGGGTCGAACCAGTCGGGGCCGGGGAGCGCGGGGGCGGGGCGGCCGCCGGGGCAGGGGGGCGCGGGTGGAGGTTCCTCGAGGGCTTGGGGGCCCAGAGTTGGGTTTGGGGAACCTCGGTTGGGTTTGGGGAACCTCAGTTGGGTTTGAAGAGTCTCAGTTGGGTTGGAAGAGTCTCAGTTGGGTTTGAGGATCTTGAGTTGGGTTTGAAGAGTCTCAGTTGGGTTTGGGGATCTTCAGTTGGGTTGGAAGAGTCTCAGTTGGGTTTGAGGATCTTCAGTTGGGTTTGAAGAGTCTCAGTTGGGTTTGAAGAGTCTCAGTTGGGTTTGAAGAGTCTCAGTTGGGTTTGAAGAGTCTCAGTTGGGTTTGAAGAGTCTCAGTTGGGTTTGGGGATCCTCAGTTGGGTTTGAAGATCTTCAGTTGGGTTTGAAGAGTCTCAGTTGGGTTTGAAGATCCTCAGTTGGGTTTGAAGAGTCTCAGTTGGGTTTGAGGATCTTGAGTTGGGTTTCAAGAGTCTCAGTTGGGTTTGGGGATCCTCAGTTGGGTTTGAAGAGTCTCAGTTGGGTTTGAAGAGTCTCAGTTGGGTTTGGGGATTCTCAGTTGGGTTTGAAGAGTCTCAGTTGGGTTTGAAGAGTCTCAGTTGGGTTTGAAGAGTCTCAGTTGGGTTTGAAGAGTCTCAGTTGGGTTTGAAGAGTCTCAGTTGGGTTTGAGGATCCTCAGTTGGGTTTGGGGATCCTCAGTTGGGTTTGAAGATCTTTAGTTGGGTTTGAAGAGTCTCAGTTGGGTTTGAAGGTCCCCAGTTGGGTTTGAAGAGTCTCAGTTGGGTTCTCCAAGGGTTGGAAGAGCCAGAGTTGGGTTGGAAGCCCCCAGTTGGGTTCTCCAAGGCTTTGAAGACCCATAGTTGGGTTTCAAGCCCCCAGTTGGGTCCCCCAAGGGTCAGAAGACCCCAGTTGGGTTCTCCAAGGGTTTGAAGACCTAGAGTTGGGTTGGAAGCCCCCAGTTGGGTCCCCCAAGGATTGGAAGCCCCCAGTTGGGTCCCCCAAGGGTTTGAAGACCCATAGTTGGGTTTGAAGGCCCCAGTTGGGTCCCCCAAGGGTCGGAAGCCCCCAGTTGGGTCCCCCAAGGATTGGAAACCCCCAGTTGGGTCCCCCGCGGGTCGGAAGCCCCCGGTTGGTTTCTCCAAAGGTTTGAAGACCCATGGTTGGGATTGAAGGCCCCAGTTGGGTCCCCCAAGGGTCGGAAGCCCCCAGTTGGGTCCCCCAAGGATCAGAGACCCCCAGTTGGGTTCCCCAAGGATTGGAAGCCCCCAGTTGGGTTCTCCAAGGGTTTGAAGACCCGTAGTTGGGTTTGAAGGCCCCAGTTGGGTTCCCCAAGGATTGGAAGACCCGTAGTTGGGTTTGAAGCCCCCAGTTGGGTCCCCCGCGGGTCGGCAGCCCCCGGTTGGGTCCCTGAGGGCGGGAGGTTCCCCGAGCAGATCCAGCAGTTCTCCAAGAAGGAGATCGAGGACCTGCTGCGCAAGGGCGCCTACGCCGCCATCATGGACGAGGACGACGAGGGCGCCAAGTTCTGCGAGGAGGACATCGACCAGATCCTGCTGCGCCGGACCACCACCATCACCATCGAGAGCGAGGGCAAGGGGTCAACGTTTGCCAAGGTAATTAACTGATTAATTAACTAATGAGGGACCACCACCATCACCATCGAGAGCGAGGGCAAGGGATCCACCTTCGCCAAGGTAATTAATGGTTAATTAACTAATGAGGGACCACCACCATCACCATCGAGAGCGAGGGCAAGGGCTCCACCTTCGCCAAGGTAATTAATGGTTAATTAACTAATGAGGGACCATCACCATCGAGAGCGAGGGCAAGGGATCCACCTTTGCTAAGGTAATTAGTTAATTAATTAATGAGGGACCACCACCATCACCATCGAGAGCGAGGGCAAGGGGTCAACCTTCGCCAAGGTAATTAACTGATTAATGGGTAATTAACTAATGAGGGACCACCACCATCACCATCGAGAGCGAGGGCAAGGGCTCCACCTTCGCCAAGGTGATTAATGGTTAATTAACTAATGAGGGACCACCACCATCACCATCGAGAGCGAGGGCAA